AGATAAAAAGCAAGTTACCAAACAGTAGAAAACAGTGGATCTATAGAGGCTGCATTAGTTTAATTCCTGCTTTTTCGATAAAAAGTCTATTTTTAAACAGATTTAGAACAGGCTTAGCACTAAAACCAATAAATGAATGTCTAAAGTGAGATGGAGAGAATATGGGGAATCCTTTGTGCAGAAACAGATATGCATATCCTCTAGTTTCTTCTTACTTTAACTGCCAGCCTCTGCAGGTTGTCCAGTTCTGTGGTCACTAGCATGGAGAGGTTGCTAAATAGCATTAAGAACTAAATCTGAGTCACATGATAGAAAACAAAATTATCCCTGGGCTGTTTTTGTTTTAAACAAAGCCTAACTGCAGCTTTTTAGCTGAAATATAAGGAAAGATCGCCCTCTGGTGGTATTCCACTGAACACCATTAAACTGCATCAGCACTGAGGAAAGTGTTTCAGGTGAATTTAGTTTGAAGCCTTTTATCCATTGTTATTATTTAGGAATTTGTTTTCTTTAAAGGTTTACACATTAAAAAAATATATTTTAAAATGTGTGATGTGCTAAGTTTAATTATTTAGGCTTTAGGGTATAAAATAGGCATGGATAAAACCAGCTCATTACGTTAGTAAATCCTACCAAAACCAATAATATTACGACATATTTGCCTTTATTACGCTTCTACTAAAAAACAGAAAGGAGAATATTCCAAAGTTTTTGGTGCTATTTCGTCTGAAATGTGTATGTTATTCAAACAGAAACCAAGAATCAGTTATTCTCCCATTTTGACTCCCATACATTTTCCTGTTGGCAAAATTTGTCTTAACCCTGTTCCTCGTTAAAATAATAAATTAATTAGATCCCTGTTTTAGAAGGAAGAGACCTCTGTTCCTGTGGTTGTTTCTTACTGGGAGCGTTTTCATATTAATATGTCCTGGAAATGTATCTGGCTGCTCCCGAATCACTTTTTATGAGTTTAAAAAAAGGATCTTTTAAACTCATACATAGAATCTACCTATCTTTGGCAACACTTTTGTACTTTTATTGTGTCAAAAATATCAATAGTATTTCAGTTATATTGGGTAAATGTCCTGTTTGGTTTTCAACAAAATGAAAGAATGAATGTGAAGAGTTTTCTTATCAATTTAATAATTATTAAGGCTAAATTTTTTTCTTTATAAATGCACATTTTTGAGAAAAAAACCTGACTTTTCAGTTTTTCTGATTGAATTTAAACATTATATATTTACAATTCGACCTTCTACAAATAAAAAAGCAAAAACAACTTTATTGGCTTGCAATCAAATTGGAATTGTAGATAATTTATTGTGTTTATTCACTGTGGCATCTGGTATTTTTGTCACCTTTGGTTCTGTTTTTCTATAAATAAGAGTATTTTATCATTTCTTATTATACTTTTATTGTTCTCCGTTAATGCTCCCCCTGGCAAATGTATTTGTTGTTTTGTGATATGTTCACAATGCAGTTTTGTATTGTTATGTATGGTAAATAATAAAGTTTATTAACAAAAAAAGAAAAAAAAAACTAGTTTAAGCCCCTCCCTCTTTCAGATTTTTATCAAACACATTTTTACAAATAAAACCAATAACCTTTCTTCCAAGCATAGTCCACTGCTTCCTGTTCTGGTGGAAATATATTGTTACTATTACTACAATTATATCTTTAATTTGTCACCAAATCAGTTTTAATATGTTACTAAATTCAGAAACTATACATCTCTGAAGCTGTAAAATGTTAAAAATAAAAGTTGGTGAAATGTATGTTATGTTATTTATAATCAGACCAGTTTATTATACCCGCTCAAATAATATTGGAAGATGCAGACATTGATAATTTAGTGCAATAATTCTTGGATTTATTAATATAGTTTTAATTAGAGCCATATGGGATTATATAGCAATGGTTTTTTTGAACATAGGACTCATATCTGTTTTAGATGAATTTCTACTTCAGCAGATTATTGCTTTCCTCCCCAGCAGCCGCCAAAGGCTGCAGAGGGCTGTCAATCAGACATTCATTAACCGTTTAAAGCCTGGACCATGAAATAATTGACAGAAAATATTTTTTTTATTTAGAGTTGTCATTGAACTCTGAAAAATGAAAAAAAAAAAAGAGTATATATATATATTTATATATTGTACGAGTTAAATTAAATTCTTTTATTTGCATCAATTTTGATAAATTCGGCATTTCTGTAGAATATTTTATACGTTTTCTGTTCACTGCGTGTGTCTGATTGTGTAAGTCAGGGTTTT